CCGGGGGCCAGTCCCCGCGGGGACACCGCGAGGCGCTCTCCGACCCGCCCCTCCCTGCCCGCCCGCGTCACAGGCTCCTCCCCGAGCCAGCCGGCGCCGCGCGCAGTCCCCGGGCGGAGAGGAGAGCTCGGGGACCCGGCTGCGCACCCCGCGATGGCCTCCGTCCCCGCGAACTGGACCGGGGCGGCCGAGACCGAGTGGCTGCCGCTGCTGGGCCCGGCCGGCAACCTGTCGGGCGCCCCCGCCGCGCCCCCGCCGCCGCGGGCCGGCCTCGCCAACCAGTTCGTGCAGCCGCCCTGGCGCATCGCGCTCTGGTCGCTGGCCTACGGCGCCGTGGTGGCCGTGGCGGTCTCCGGGAACCTCGTGGTCATCTGGATCGTCCTGGCGCACAAGCGCATGAGGACCGTCACCAACTACTTCCTCGTGAACCTGGCTTTCTCCGACGCCTCCACGGCCGCCTTCAATACCCTCGTCAACTTCATCTACGCGCTTCACAGCGAGTGGTACTTTGGCGCCAACTACTGCCGCTTCCAGAACTTCTTTCCCATCACAGCGGTGTTCGCCAGCATCTACTCCATGACGGCCATCGCGGTGGACAGGTGAGGGGACGGGAAGAGGGAGGGTGAGGGGAGAGAAGAGCCGGGCAGGGGGTACAGCTACAAAGGACATGTGACAAGATGAGCTTGAGGAAAGAAAAGGGACTAGGAAAGAGTCCTGGAGAAGGAGGTCACTAACCCAGTGGTAGTCCTCCCGTGGCTGAGCCAGTTTCTGCCTCTATGGCCCCTCACTTCCCCAGATCGCACCCCAGATCCTACCCCGGATACCCAGGAAGGGCATCTAGAGGGACTGAAGGAGGCGAGTGAGGGAGACACAGGAAAGTCTGTCATCACGAGTAGGACCAGCGCAGCTGGAAACAATACCAGGAAACTCAAATGCCTTCTTCAGAGGATTGCTGCAAAACATGTTCTCTGTAAAACGGACCTTCCCAGCTTCCTTCTCCCTGTCAGTCACTATTCTGTCAGAGAAGGGGCCAGTGAGCCACCCTCCACCCTCCCTCTTCACTCTGGTCTGCTGGTCCTCACCCCACCCATCGCATGCTCTCTCCTTGCCCCAAGGCCAATGCTGGTTTGGCCTCCCAATCATGGCGAATCCATCAGAGGCAACAAGCTACCTCCAAAAGATTGCTGTCATCCAGCAGTTTCCACAGTGTCTTGGAGTAGATCTCACCTCCAATATCTGCGAAGGCCATGAACTGAGTAAACCCTATGCCTGGAAGATTGCACCCAAATCTTTCAGATGATGGGCAACAAAACCCCCAGGAATAAATGGTTAAAAAAAGAGACACTACTTTGTAACTGTTTAAAATAACTTTTTAGAATGTTCCCCTGTCTACAGTGGGGATTCTGAGATGCTTTGGCAATTAAAAAAGCTGGATAGACCTCCAACATTTGTGCATTAAGTTGCCATTAATAAATAAAAAATAAGAAAAAACAAGTACTTTCCATAAGTCCATCCTCTGTGTTCGCTATTTTGAAATAGCGAACACAGAGCTATTGATAACATAAACCTTTAAAAATTATCTTCACATCCCAGGCTCAGAGGGTTGACTGAAGGAGCAGTGGTTAGTTGCCACTGACTAGGATAAATCAGCACAAAGTCACAGTTTTTAAAGCCTCTGAAGCTGACACTCTTGCCTTTCCCCTCCATCTCTGATCTCCACACGTCTCACACGTCACTTTTGTAGGGACAGAAGTGAGTGCCAAAAAGGATCAGAATCAGCCCCAAGTGGGGGCACAGTGCAGTTGCCTCTAATCCTGCTGCATCAACATAGAGGCGAACGTTCCTTTGGTTTGAACATCTTCCTTTTTGTTTTGATTTGGTTCCTTTTCCTTTTTTGTTTCTCATAAACCTGTGATTTTGTGATCAAGAGGAGAGGCATTAGCATATCATGTTATAAAATTCTCACAATCTTCTTGAAATGTTAATGATGCATTATGAAAATTTAGTGTGTGTGAAATTGGTATTTCAAGTCTGAGGAAAAAGAAGTTATTTTCCTAATTATTTTCTGCCAACATTTATACAAAATGTGAAATAGTCTTGGAGTTGTTTTAACTGATAATGTAATGCTATTTCATTATACTCACTGGTTTGAAATTAATGAATACTTTACTACCTACCCTTTACTAGAAAATATTATTCAGTCACCAAAAACTATACAAAATTTACGGAGCATACAATTTGCAACAAAACCTGGGGGACACTCAGTTCAGATACTGAAAATCTTTTTTAAAACTGTCATTTAAAGGAATACTCTTATGTGAGCAAGCAATTGATAAAAAGAAATACAGAGATAGAGAAAAACTTGTTTAAGACAATTTTTAAAACCAAATACTATACAAATATAACAGTTAGAACTCTCGGTAGTTCACCAGTCTATGCAATCTTTCTGCATTGGTGTCTTGTCAACATGAATGGGAAAAAACAGTTCCGTGGTGAATGCAGGGACTTTACGGATTCAGGTCCACAGTCGACCCTCTGAGGAAGGTCAGGTGAGTCACGGTGGCTCTGGTTATGGTGGTAGGGACTCCCTGCCCCACACAGAACATGGTCGACAGTATGTGCTTATGGAAATCATATTCTCCTATATAAGGAGTGCTGTATTGAAATAACCATGAGGGTTACATAATCCTACTTAGTTCTTATTGATAAAGAATACATCATTTAGACTGCAATGTGAACACTTGGCTTAGTGAGTTGTGAGTGTTTTCTGTCCTCATTTAATAGAAACTGAATTATGTCCTCCCAAAATGGAAACGCACTCGACACTCCCTGCTTCTGCCTAAAATCAAAAGATCCTCTGAGCTTGAAGCTACTTCAGCTTTGACTCTGGCGCACATGGCTTTCCTTCAGCTGCAGCAGAGTGCTTGAAACCTCCTATCACCTTAGAAGTGGTAGATCTGAAAGGATTGCAGACATTCCCTTCATGAACACCTGTGTTCATGGAGGACCTCAAGCCAATGGACACACATTTTGTTGAATAAAAAGCGTTGAGTTTCCTTGAAGTGTTAGGCACTCATTCTGCACTGGGAGAATTGCTTGCTCTCTGCTTCCACTTTTTAAAAATGTAATATTGGGTGAGGCGGCCCGGTGCCATAGTAGTTAAGTTTGCACACTCCACTTGGTAGCCTGGGGTTCGGGGTTTTGGATCCAGGGCGCAGACCTACACACTGCTCATTAAGCCATGCTGTGGCAGTGTCCCACATACAAAGAAATAGAGGAAGACTGGCACAGATGTTAGCTCAGGGCCAATCTTCCTCACCAAAAAAAAAAATAATAATAATGTTGGTCACTCTAGTGGAGATTTGAATGTGAGATCACAGGTTCTCGTCTTATCCTGAGTCATGTTACTTTCTGCTTTGTTAGAAATTCCTACAAAACTGTGTTGTCGTTGGCTAAGAAGCCATCTTTAAGTTCCACATGGTTTCTTCTTGCCTGGAAAGCTGCTTCACTATCTACACACACACACACACACACACACACACACAACACACGCACAGTAGGGAATTACTTGCCAATGAAGAGTCGCTGTTTCTCTCTGCCACCCTTCCCAAATTTGCCATTTTGAAATGTAACACTTAAACGTGACATTTGTCTGAGAGATGCTAAGCTTTCCCAAGATGAGCAGTAGAGCCAGAATTGAAGGCCCTGCAGTGTACCCAGGGCCAGCTCCCTTCACCTCCACACTGTCGTGGCTCCTAGGGAGCTGTGATGACTGAGGGTTTAATTAGACGAGGTTATACCTTCAGTGAGGTTAGAATTAGCACTAGTTCATGCTGTGTGCAGTACATGTATTCACAGCATAGCTTACATGTGTACTGCCTATATTTGAGTGGAGATGTAGACGTTAGAAAATTATGAATAGAACAGTTAACATGATGTGAATATTGTCATTTCTGTTCATTTATAGCATATGCCATTTGATACATGGGAGCATTAGAAAACAGAAACTATTTTCTAAGCACTCCCTCGTGAGGTTAAGTTAGAAACTCTAAGAAGGTTTATTAACATATAGTAAAGGACAATTTCAGAGCACATGGTCCAGTATTGATTAGAATATTTAATTAAAGAATTTTTAAAATGATGTTCACTGTTTCTTACCTGGAAACGTTAAGGAATTAATTTAACATGTTTTATTTAATAGTCTGAAAGCATTAACAAAGATAGCAAAAAATGCTTTTCATTCTTCAAACCCAGGGACACACCTAACATGAGTAATTATTAAAAGAAATATTTAATCTAACTGAGCTAAGTTATATTTTTTAGCTAAATACATAGATAAAAATTGATCTTCTATGCTACTCTTTACTTTTTAATTTCTTTAGGAAGATTCTTTTTCATAAAGATAATTGTTATTCATAGAGTTTTATTCAAAGTATTCATAGAACCTCTATTTCTTTTGAAATTTATCATGGACAAATAAAAATATTCAGTAATAAAAAGTCATGAGACCTCAATCTGGTAACAATTTATCTAAATGTATTACAGTAAATTTTGTCATTGCTATAAATACTATGGATGTAAACACTTTGATAACATTTTTTAAACTCCTTGATCAATCTATAATTCTAGTGCCCTGAGCCATCTCCTCATTCCTCTCCACCTTAGGGAGAGCCACTGCCTGTGCACCTAATACTCTTTATTAGTGTTACAGTAAGACCTGATCATTATTTAGCCCAGAGGATGAACTGAGTGAATTTAGTCTAAGATCAATTGCTTTATTTTTGCATTCTTTGCAAAACAGTGACTAAAACTATGTTTTGGAAAAGATTACTTTTAGAAAATTTATCATGTATCTTTGGCTCTTTCTACAATTTGTAGTTCTTATGCCAAGATTTAAAAATATCCCATTTGCATCCATTAAAATTACTGCTGTAGTGAGCTGTGAAAGTTCTGTTAAAATCATGGTACAAATTCTTATAAAATTAATCATGAGCACCTAGTGAAAGCAATAAATATGCATTAATTGAATGGATGAAACACAAAGTCGTCACAGAGTCAGGTGCAATCAGAAGTGTCTGTAATATAGCTAGCAGATTCCGGTGGACATCAAGGTTATATTAACCACAGTGGGAAAGAACATGTCAAAAAAAGAGTTTGCAGCATATTTAACAGACAGTGTTAAAAAAAACACCTTAATCTATAACCTATTCTTACATAATAATAAAAAGATATAACCCTAATATAAGAAGAACAAAAGACATAAACAGAGAGTCCACAAAGGAAAAAATAAAATGTCTAGCAAACATAAAATGATGGGTTGCTTATGTTCTGTGTCTCCGTTTCCTCACCTGCTGTTTGTTCCTCCCACCACTGAAATCTGCATTTCTTTCCCAACACTCGGTCTAAGAGTCTTATTGTGCAATCGTGGGCATTTCAGTCCCCATTCCTTGACCTTCCAGTGGTGTTCCCCACAGGCGCCCAGCTTCCCTGATCTCCTTCTCCCTCCTGCTCGCCTGTCTTTTGTGGCTGTGTGCTGGATCCTCTGTTTTCATGTCGGGACTCAATGCATCGGTTCCTCCGTGCCACATCCCGGGCCCAA